AACAACAGGTCAGGTCTTTGACCTTAGATAAATACTGTGCATTGGATATCAAAACAAAGGTCCAAGAGATACAGGAAGAAAAAGCCTTATGGACAAACTTTGTCTATGAGGAAGAAGGCAAAGATGTTGAAACAGAGAAAGTGGGAACATAACAAAGCAAAGAAATTGCTTCGATGGTAGAAGAAATCAAAAGAGAAGCATTAGTGAGTGCTCAAGTACAAGACCCCTCGGAAGAAGTCAATTTAGGGGAAGGTTCTGCACAGCAACCTATTTATATTAGTGCTCGGTTAAGTCCTTGTGATAGAAGCCAGTTATTGGTTGTCTTAAAACAATATAAGGATTGCTTCGCTTGGTCTTATAATAAGCTGCCTGGATTGGACAAATCATTAGTAGAATATAGGCTCCTTATGAAGCCTAATTTTAAGCCATACAAGCAAAAACCAAGAAGAATAAGTCCTGAGGTGGTTTAGAAGGTCAAGGAGAAAATTTTTAGGCTCCTTAAGGTGGGCTTTATTAGAATAGCCAGATATGTCGAATAGTTGTCTAATATTGTGCCTGTAGTTAAAAAAAATGATAAAATGAGGGTATGCATCGATTTCAGAAACCTGAACTTAACAACTCCAAAAGATGAGTACCTCATGCCCATAGTAGACTTATTGGTGGACAGTTCAACAAGGCACAAGATTTTGTCTATGATGGATGGGCATTCTGGTTACAACCAAATTTGCATTGTAGAGGGAGGATGTCCATAAGACAACATTCAGATGTCTAGGGAACATTGGTACATTCAAATGGGTCAAAATGCCATTTGGTCTGAAGAATGCTGGGCTACATATCATGATCTCATTGGAGGATATTTAGAGTGTTACATTGATGACATTGTAGTAAAATCTCAGTCCATGGAAAAACACTTGGTTCACTTGGAAACAGCTTTCGAAAGAATGAGAAAGTTCAAGTTGAAACTTAAATCTCTCAAATGTGCTTTTGGTGTATCAGCTGAAAACTTCTTGAGCTATGTAGTACACAAGAAAGGAATACAAATTGATCAGAATAAAGCCAAAGCCATCATTGAGGCCAAGCCTCCATCAAGTAAGAAAGAAGTACAAAAGTTCCTTGGTCAGGTTAATTTTCTTCGAAGATTTATTTCTAACACTGCAAGGAAAATTAAAGTATTTTCTTCTTTATTAAAGCTGAAAAATGAAGAGGATTTTGTGTGGATAGCAGAGCATCAAATTGTTTTCGAAGGAATTAAAGCCTACTTGGCCAAGCCTCCAATACTGATTTCACCAAAGAGTGACCAGCCCTTGAAGTTGTATGTTGCTGCAGCAGAAGATTCATTGAGAGTTTTCTTAGCACAGGACAATGAAGAAGGCAAAGAGCTAGCAGTTTATTACCTTAGTAGATTTTTAAATTCTTGTGAATGTAAATATTTAGCTGTAGAAAAGCTGTGCCTTGCATTGTATTTTACTGCAATGAAATTAAGATACTATATTTTGCCTACAGTTGTCTTGGTAATTGCAATCACAGATTTGGTTAAGTATATGTTATCTAGACCTATGTTGAGAGGAAGAATTGGCAAATGGATACTAGCCTTATCAGAATTTCATCTAGAATATGTCCCCCAAAAGGCAGTAAAAGGACAAGTTTTAGCTAATTTCTTGGTAGATCATCCATGTCAAACAGAAAGCCAAGAGATAATGGATCTTGGTATGGTTAATATTGAGCCATGGCAAATATGGTTTGATAGATCAAAAGTCAATGGTTTGATTGGAATTGATGTGGTGATTAAGTCACCATAGAGGGTAGAAACCATACATGGTTTCAAAGTTGATAAAATTACTTGTTCTAATAATCAAGCTAAATATGAAGCTTTAATAATGGGACTGGAAATGCTTATTGGATTACAAGCTCATGCAGTTGATATATTTGGAGATTCTCAATTGATGGTCAACCAAGTGAAAGGAATTTTCAAATGTCAAAGTGCAAGCATGTTGTCATACTATGTTGTTGCATTACATTTGCTTTCTCAGTTTCAGATAGCAAATGTGACTTATATCCCAAGGTTCATGAATAATAAAGCCAATGATGTAGCTCAGAAAGTTTCGAATTTCAGAAGAATGGATGACACTCAAATGAACATAAATCAAGCAACATATCAAAAATTAATAACATATCTAGCTAAAAAGAATGTTGTATTAGAAGTCAATCATAATGACTTACAAGATCAAGATTGGAGGCATCCAATAATGCAGTACCTAAATGGCTTATCTTCGAAAGCCAATAGAAAGATCAAATTACAATCTATGCGATACATAGTGTATGGTAATGCTCTTTACAAAAGAGGAGCAGATGGGTTGTTATTAGAATGTCTAGGGCCAAATAAGGCATTGACAACCATGGCTGAAATTCATGAAAGCATCTGTGGTGCTCATCAGCCTGGTGTGAAGATGAGATGGTTGCTTCGAAGGCATTCCTACTATTGGCCCACCATTCTTAAAGATTGTATAGAATATGCTAGAGGTTGTCAGGTATGCCAAAAGTATGGCATGATAAGACATGTGTCAATAACTGGTTTGCATGCAATTGTGAAACCTTGGCCATTTAGAGGTTGGGCTATGGATATGATAGGGAAAATATATCCATCCTTTTCGAAGCACCATTATTTCGTCTTAGTGGCCACAGACTACTTCATTAAGTGGGTCGAAGCTAAACCATATAAGGCTGTAGACCAAACTGAAGTTGTTGGATTTATTAAAGATCTGATTCATAGGTTTGGCATCTCACAAACCATAACTGTGGATAATGTGGCTGTATTTGATGAAAAGATGATAAAGTCTTTCGCGGCAGAGTTTGGAATTAGCCTAGTTAATTCTACCCCTTATTATGCACACGCAAATGGTCAGGCAAAATCATCCAATAAGTCTTTGAAAAAAGGAATACAGAGAGTTATGGAAGACCATCCTAGAAATTGGCATAGCTTGTTGTTAGATGTATTGTGGGTTTATAGGACTTCTCTAAGGTCAAGTACAAGAGTTACTTCTTATGCATTAGTATATGGGCATGATGCAGTATTACCTGTAGAGATTAACATTAAGTCCTTGAGGGTGAGATGCCAGGACCAGTTAGCTCCTGAGCAATACCATCAGAGCATGTTCTTGGAATTAGAAAATATGGATGAAGCTAGAATTTTGGTATTAAATAACATTCTCTTTCAAAAGAAGAAAGCAACCAAAAATTATAATAGTCAAGCACATTAGCTTTGATGAAGGTGATTTGGTATGGAAGACAATACTCTTAATAGGAATTATTCTTCACTTATTGTTATTTACCAAATTCCCCTAAACAAGCCACCAGTAAAAGTCTTCTTTATTGAGGCGGAGAGAACTAAAACACAATCGTTTGATAATTAGTTGTTAATTAATCTTCTGTAAGGACTAATTGATCCTTGTTGGTACGCTTAAAATTACAATATTAGCGTTCAAAAGCCAAAAAAGTCAATAGATATTAATAATTAAGTTATAATATTTTTTAATAACCTGTAATTATTTTGTGAAGGAGCCATTGAATTGTAATTTTTCCAAAATAATTAGTACCACCGCAAATGAGAATACTCTTGGTGAGCCTTATTATACTGACATAATATTTTTCTGTAATTTTAGTTATGTCTACGTAGACTATTCATAGTGCAGGAGATAAAAAGTTACAACAATTATGATCCAATGCAAAATGGGAAAAAGATAAAAGGAATCATGTAACCGGTGGGAATGCACAGATAATAATGTTGCCTTGATCATATTTTAAATTAATTATGCCTATCATATTATTTGTCAATACAATATTGATATAATAAGTCTTATTATTTATGTATGTTTAAGAGCGTCTTCAACACTTATGTTTTTTGTTTATTTGATGAATTACGTATACTTTTCTTTCTCCAATCATAACATCAAACTTATATCAAATGAGAAAAAATTTAAAACTTTCATCAAATTAAGGGAGGCTTTAGCGTTCAATAAATTTTTGTAGATTGCCATTGAGACTTTATCACTGAACAATCAATAGGTTGTCCTGCCAATTGTCTTCTCGAATAACCTTTTGCTTGTAAAGTTGCCTATTGCTGCTTGCAAAGTTGCCCTTTACCTGTTGTCCTTTCAGTTAATCAGTTATTTGATAAAACTTAAAAAATTACCATTAAAGCGCGTGATACCAAATAGAAAAATAGAATAAGCATTGAAAATGCTCTAATGCAAATAATTAAGCTGAAATATCAATTAGTAAAATAAGAACAGATAGTTATAGTAATATTACTCGGGAGCAAATGCCAAATTACCAATTTAAGATCATGTGGTCCTTTCCATGCACCATTGTTTGTCCCTCTGGCTTATATGATCACTTTTACTAATATAGATAACCTCATAAACTAATAAAATATAAAAAGACAAAAAAACGGTGCATAAAAGAGGACAAGTAGTCTGGATTATTTAATTTGTTGTGCATGATTTTAGTATCAAATCATATGGGTTGTTTGGTGTAATTTATTTAAATTATTTTTATTTTTATTTTTATTGAAGGAGTTTATATTTGGTTCTAATTTTTGAATTTAAATTTTTTAAAAATTTATTTTTTTCATGTTTTTATTTTTTATTTTTTAATTTATGTTTAGTGATTTTTCTTTAATATTTTTAACAAATTTTTTACTTTTTTAAATACACTTAAACTAAATGTATTTTAAAAAATACAAATATGTATTGAGTTTTTATATTTTTGGTATTTAGTAAAAAAAAATTTAAAAATTATATAAATATTATATTTTTTAAGTATATTTATGTTAGGTGTATTTAAAAACTAAAAATATAATTAAAATATTAAAAAAATTAGTATAAAATCAGAAAAAGAAAACGTTAAAAACACAAAAAGCTTTAAATATTAAAAAGTGGATTCAAAATTCTAAGACAAAACAAGATGAATAACTTACCGTATTTATAATCTCATTTAACATAAATCGATCAAACAAACAAGGCCCCTTGCTCTTTCTTATCCACCTTTCGGGTTTTCACTCTCTCTGCGTAGTGATTGTTTGGAGTGTTGGCTTCTGCGAGCTTCGCTCAAGCCACAGAACACTTCACGGCACCTCTCTCTCTCTCTCTCTCTCTTCTAAAGCCCTCTCTCTTCCAGAGGACGAGGCAAACAACAATAACATGACTTCAATTTCTCCGGCCCTGCCCCAATCCCTGTCTCTCCTCCGCACCACCTCCGCCGCCGCCTTCCACCACCGCCTGCCGCCGTACCTGCGACTTCCCCCTGTCTCCACCTCCGCCACTCGGTGCTTCCAGCGCCTCTCCGGACCTCGCAGATCTCTCGCCGTCGCCTCCAGCGCCACCTTCGTCCCTGTATGTCTGCCTTATCCATATCTATCCTCTATCATTCTTTCACATGAATTGTAATTTACACCCTTATCTGTCTATTTTATTTCCTAATTGAGTGAATTTGCCCCCGAATTGTATATTGTACCGAGTATCAATTCACTCTTGACATGCACTCCATGTTCTGGAATCTGAAGTTATCGTTGGTTTTTTTTGAGTATATCCATTAATGATTTGAGGGGATAATGATAATCTCTAAAATAGCTTTCTCATTTGGGTAATTTACTATGAGGAGCTGTAAATTATAAATAATAATAATAATAATGATGAAAAGATTTGACTTGCTTTTCAATACCCTTGCTTACTCACGTGCAACCTTGTCTTAAAACATAAAAAACAAAATGAATAAAATGCAAACGGAGAAACTTAAACCTAAGACCTCCAATAACCTTGAGTTCTGATACCATGTCAGATTGTTACTAGTTCAAAAGCTCAAGGTTTTAAGAATTGTGTCTAACAATGTATATCAAGCTTTGCAACAGACGCAACCTTACTGCACACAAGTGTAATTTGGACATTGAAATGACTAATGTCTGTGCCTCACAAGGCGGCATGAAGTTGTGTTTGTTCAGTGCTTGTTTCAGTTATTTGGACACTTTTTTTTGTCCATCTTCTTGGACCTTTCAACTTATATACATTGCCAAGTCATTCCAATTTTTTGGGTAAATGATTGGATAGTAATGAGTTCCCCAATTTCTTTGCAATAAGTGCTTGACATATACCCACTTTAATCTAACATCAACTTAGGTCTATATTGACAGTAGAACAGTTGACATCAAATAACAAAGTATGTGTGAAGAAAAGGGTCTAATAATTACCTACTTTAAGATCTTATTGCCTTCCAATACGTAGAGACTTGTCCAAAAATTGGAATGGATTGCACTACCTTTAAGTTGAGAAATTGATCATTCCATTGGATATATTTCACGTTGAACCATAAATACACGCATGCTCATGGAATTGATGCATAAAGGATGCCTAGAAATATTAATGATTAGCCATCAGTTAGAAAAAGTTATAGAATAGCTTATAGTGGGACACTTTTTTGTGACAATTTACTTACATGTTGGTGAGGTCGTTTTTCAACATCGAGGTCTAGGAGCATAAATTATTGCTAAAACTTGATTGTTATTTATATATTCTTGAAGTAAATAGTTTCATTTCTCTATTTGTACATTGTTATGTCTTTTACTTAAAGAATTTGCCATGTTGCCTATGGAGTAGCAACATCACCCTACAAGCACGGTAGGTTAGGTTAGGAAACAAACAAGTGGAAAGTATATAGGATGAATGATCTAAATTTTAGAATAAAATTGTTGTTATCCGGAATTTATTATGCGGAGGTTAACATGATGTCTAAGAGATGAGGACCTTTTTCCAAATGGTTTACTGATGACTGGATGAACTTTGGGAAAAATTCACTTTGCCTCCCTCAACCTATCACATTTGTGTTACTTTACCTCTGAATTATCAATTTTGAACAATTACCTCCTTAAACTATTGACATTAATTCACGGAGTTAATATTTTGTGCACGTGATTTGGTTGTAACTTGAGGCAATAGTTTGCTACAATTGGTTGTACTTTGTGTTTTATTGAATATTTTCAAAATAATTGGTTATGTTTTGTTGCATGGTATTAGGATATTAGTCTCTTTATTTGTCTCCTTACTATGTGGTGAAGTGAATAAATACTCTCAATAAATTACGTGTGCCGATAGGTGTGATATTGGTCAAAAAAACATTAATCTTATTAACGGTTTGCGGTAAAATGCACTAATTTCAATAGTTTAAGGAGATAGTTCAAATTGATAGTTTAGGAGGTAAAGTGATGTGTGATAGTTTGAGGGGGCAAACTTAAATTTCCCCATGAAATTTTTGTTGTGAATATTTGTGTGGTTGTTATGTAGCTTTCAATATAATTTCTAAAGGTATGATAAGATTTTGTCTTAATTCAATTATGAATTTATTAGATACCCTGTTTATTTTGTTGGCTACTTCAGTCTTATTGCATTATTTTATTTGGTAGGGTGTGATTGATTTCTTTGATCTGTTGTTTTGCAGCCAAGAAGTGGAGTATATATTGTGGGTGATTTCATGACCAGGAAAGAGGATTTACATGTGGTAAAGCCTACAACTGCTGTGGATGAAGGTATTTGTGGGGCTTTAGTTTTGTTTCCTAGATTACTTCATGTTTTCCCTCCCTAACTAATGCGCCTTCGTTCTTGCAAACAGCTTTGGACATTCTAGTAGAAAAAAGAATAACTGGTTTCCCTGTAATTGATGACAACTGGAAATTGGTAAGTGTTTTTTCCCCTCCTCATTTGAATGCTGCTAATCCAATTTTGGATATTGTACTTCTTTTAGTTGAATCTGAAATAGAAACATGATTTTTTTTTTTATTTTCTATTTAATAGGGCGAATTTCAGATCAGTGTAAAATTTGAAAAATAATTACAAATTAGTGATGAACTTTATCAATATTAAGAATTAAATTATAGACTTTTCCATACGTATGTAATAATTTTTCAAATCACCACTGTCAGATAATTTCCCCCATTTAATATGCACCTAATTGCAATATCAAATATCAATGGTTAACGCTTCTTAATGTTTTAAACCTTGACATTGGCAATGCCTTTTCCGTCTTCTTTTTCCCCTTCCAGTTTTTAACATTACATAACTTGGGGTTTACAAGGAATTACTGTTTGGAAAGGAACAACATTATTGCTTTCTTTACAGCATGATTTTGTCAAAGGCATGATTGTCAGCTGTTTAGTAGATATTAGAAATAATTTTTTTGACGATTTGGCTGACACTTAGATCAATTTTTGTTTATTTGTTATAGCTTTAGCTTTAGATAAACAGCATACTTGCCTGAATATAATGACATGATGACATTGTTGAAGTTCACTTGGTTGAATCATATAGCAGCTGAGACCGATATACCTCCTCAACTTCTGATCTTGCTTAGTTCTCTATTTGGCTTTCAGTTTGTTTGCAAACAAAGTTTTGTGATTGCAGAATGCTTCTTTGGGAGGATGAAAGGCCATATGGTTTTATACAAACCATGGTGTAACCTCAGCTGATTTTTGAGGTTCATTTTTTTGGTTGTGAATCTAGCTTTAGTTGCTTCAAGCCTTTCAAGTGGGGTTAATTCATTCATGGCGACATATAGAACTTCAATATTTCTTCACAGTGGATTTAAGAAGCTTTTTAACTTCCATTGTGTTCATTTTGCAGTGCACTTTGGCCTCCTAATTAACTTTTTTGCTGAATCTAGTTAGTTTTTGCATACATGAAGCTTTCCTTGTGACCTTGACAAGTCGGGTCACAAGTTGATGAAATCGTAAATAGTTGTGGGGCATGGACAAGATGTTAAAACCAAGGATTTAGGTACTACTCAATCTGGAAGGATTTAGGAAGTTTGAAACCAGATTTTGCTTTCTAAAATCAACTTTGCTACAAGCTTTAAACTTGGTAAATTGGGAAGAAAATTCATGCATGATAGTTTCCCGTTGTTGATTATCAATTACAGGTTGAGTTTTAATTGGAAAGCTGAGAAAGTTTATCAATTACTGGTTTAGTTTATGAAAGTTGTGGAAGTGAAGTATTGTGAGCGGTGCTTACTCATGGACCTTTTACCTTGGAAGCCAGAAACAAAGCAGAGTATAATCTGCCTCAAGAATTGTTTTTTCAACCACAAGCACCTCTGGCATTTGACATGATCTACTTGTTTATGTTTACTGAGATATTTTTGCTCAAGGAATTTCATACATAAGGCATAAACTTTTGGGTATACTTTTTGAAAGATCCAATTAACCGGTTTACCCTTTATCTGTAATCAGAATATATTCTCTTACTTATTTATCCAACAATTTGCTCATTTTTGACATTATGCTATGTGTTTAATAGTATGATATATGCAGGAGAAATTATTGTGCTTTGACATTGTTCAAAAATTATTTCTTGGTGCAGGTTGGCCTTGTTTCTGATTATGACTTGTTGGCATTGGACTCCATATTAGGTAGATCAACAACCTGAATTTGACATTGTCATCTGATGTTTTAGGAAATTCTACATCAATTTTTTTCTTGGTGTTTATTATCATAGAATGCTATTGTTTTTGACTTGTTACTTGTTAGCATTGGACTACATACACAACAGGTATTAGTGTAATTGATGATTCAATTTAATAACTGTATTTCATTTTGTTTAAAAAATATTTATCATGTTGTCTTTCTCAGTTTTCATTGTCTCTTTATTTATTGTTATCAATTTTCTGAATATGATGGACAACCTCGGTAGGCTTGCAATGCATCTTTCTTGATGGCACAAAATTATTATGCTCATACAAGGATGGTCTCCACCTATTTTATCCTCTACCACTAAGAAGAATACAGTAAGTAAACGATATGTAATGAATTTTGATATGTCAAAATGGTCTGGTTTTTTATGTGGGGAAGGAGGAAGAGGAAGGCATGGTGTTTGGTCCCCTTGGATTGGATGTGGTTGTTTTTGGGAGAAAGGAATAGAATAACCTTTGATGGTAAAGAAGAGCTTTAGATTGACAGGTAGACTTATATCTTTTTGGTATAGCTAGTTTTCAAGGGTGCCTTCCTTGAATCAATTTTTAGAATTTGTGGAGGCAGTTGAATATGTTTTTGATGTATAATTGTGATATGTTGTCTTTTGTATATGGGTTGCACCCCCTTGATGCCTCTTGAATAAAAATCTTTTTATTTATGAAAATAGCCCTGTTCATGCCATTCTAGTGGTAGGAACGTCGAGAAAAGCTACCATTATCAGGGTGATTAAATTTCAGGAGAATATTTAGGTCTCAACTATGAGTATTTCATTTTTATAATTCAAAGCAGGGTATCCACTATGTGGAAGTTGCTTTTGCTCCTCCCAGATACTTTGTTTTTGGTTGCATAGTGAACATTTGTCTGTCAAACAGATTCTGCTTCAGTCCACAATTTCTTTAAGTTGGATGGCATTTCTTTCATTTTCTTTTGATTTTTCATTTAATTGTTAACATGTTTTTTCCTGGCCTGATTTTGCTTACTTTATTTTTTTTTTTCCAACAATTCTAAAACCTGTACTGCTTGCAATACATTAATACATTTGCTGTGATAACGAAAATCTTTGAATATGAACATGCACTTTTTCTTTTCTTTTTTTCTTTTTTGGTAATAAAGAATTTTTTTTTTTTTTTTTTTTTTTTTTTTTTTTTTTTGGATAGGTTTTGTGTTCAGATGTTTTATAACATGATATTCATTAGGAAAAAATTATTCCGTGCTTCTAACACCAATGAATATAGGCTTTTTACTTTTTATTTTTATTTTTATAAATCCCAATGAATATAGGCTTTGAGTTGGTCATGTCTCCTGTTTACAGTTTCAGAGTCCGTAATCCACATAGGTACATTATAACAGTTTAGATAGTGGATCATGTTGTTATACATCTTAATCCACATGGAAAGACTTGAAGATGGCACTTACCAAAAAGAAAGATTTGAAGATGATACCATGCTGACCATAAATGGACTCAAGACACATAACATCTGAATACATTTGCTGTGACAATGAAAATCTCTGAATATGAACGTGCACTTTTTCTTTTATTTTTTTCATTTTTTTTGGATAGGTTGTGTTCAGATGTTTTTTAGCATGATAATCATTAGGAAAAAATTATTCCGCGTGTCTAACACCAATGAATATAGGCTTTGAGTTGGTCATGTCTCTCCTGTTTACAGTTTCAGAGTCCGTAATCCCACATAGGCACATTCTAACAGTTTAGATAGTGGATCCTGTTGTTATGCATCTTAAATCACATGGAAAGACTTGAAGATGGCACTTATCAAAAAGAAAGATTTGAAGATGACACTATGCTGACTATAAATAGACTCAAGATACATAACCTACTTGAAAGTTTTATTAGTTATTTTAGGCTCACATGCTTATTTTTGTACCAGTTTGCCATATCTTGGTGATTAGTGTCACTTTTCACTAAAATATTGTATTATTTAGGATTGATTATCACAACGGTTGGGCAGCGGATGTGGTCCATAGAATTAAAGAAGGGTGACTTAAGTGGAGGAGTGCTTCTGGGGTACTGTGCAATAAACGAGTACCCATTAGACTAAAAGGAAAGTTCTATAGAAGGGTTATTAGCTCAGCGATGTTGTATGGGACGGAATGTTGGGCAACTACGAAACATGTAGATAAGATGAGTGTTGCTAAGATGAAGATACTAAAGTGGATGTGTGACAAGATTAGAAAAGACAGAGTTAGGAATGAGTATATTCATGAATGTGTGGGAGTAGTACTGCTAGAAGATAAGTTCAAAAAGAATAGATTGAGATGGTTTGGTCATATACAACAGAGACAAACAGAGGCAGTCATGAAGAGATGCGATACGATAATGGTAGATGGAAGTGTTAGAGGAAGGGATAAACCTAGATTGACGTGGACTAGTGTAGTAAATAGAGATATGAATCTCCTTAATTTGACTAATCAAATGGCCATTGATAGAATCGAGAAGAAGAATGACTCATGTAGCCGACCTTATTTGATAGGACTTACGGCTTGGCTTAGTTTGGTGTGGTTTGGTTTTTGGTCTAACGTGTCTGATAATGTGTTTTATTGTGAGGCCTAGCAAACGTCAACCTATATGTACCTTTGTGAAAAATAGTACATTGTTTTTTTCACCCCAGTATTAGTTATGATACAATTGGTTTCCCAATGTCTAAAATTGCATGTTTTGTTTATTTTTTGGAGGTTCTCTATATTTTAGGTTATTAAACAATTTTATGGAAATTAAAAATGTTCATTTACATCAAGACAGGCAGTCAATTCTGACATGACGATTTCTTTTTCCATTTTTTAGGTGTTGGACCGACGGATACAAGCATGTTTCCAGAAGTCGACAGCAATTGGAAAGTATGTAAAAGCCATCTATCTATGTTTACAAATAAACTTTCATGGCAATCTGTCTCACCACTTACACATCAGGATTGTATATGTATTAGTATGTATGCATAGTTTATGGGCAAATATAATATAGTTTGAAATGTGTAGCTTATGGGTAAAGTCCCATTCTGGTCCCACTCCCACACTAGGACCACCTAACATGTGGGAACCAGGGAAAGATACAGCCCCAAAACCTTTGGTTCTTTCTCGAGACTGATAACTGAGCAAGGCCAAAGCCAAACTTCTTGGACTGTGCTAACACCAAAGAAGACTGAATATGTTCCTTTTCCTGTCATCTTTTATTCAAAAGGTGTCCCCAGCCAGAGGCTTCTTTAAATATCCCTTAAATTAAGTTAGAGCTTCAAACAGTGGTGCACAGGTTTGGAACCCTATGAAGAAGTTAAAATTTAGAAAAAGAGATGCAAATCGAGGATAAGCACATTTCTTTTACACAAAGGCAATTCTTTACGTTACGTCAATTTAATAGAGAGAGTGGGGGGTAACGGGCTGGTACGGGAGCTTGACCAGGAAGAAGATAACATGAGTGAATTTTCCTCAGGTGGGCTCACTTACAACCACTCTTCAACTTTTGAAGTTCCTTTGTACCTTTAGTCAGGTGGGCTCACTTTTCTGCCTAGCTTAGGCCCACCTTTACTTATTTTGTTATCTATGCCTTCGCATCTCATTCGAAAGCGGCAGGCAGTATAAGAGCCAAACTAGGAGTGAGAGTGCATCTTTGATTGTATCCTTTTGAGGTAATTATAGATTCTAGGATGCAATTCTAATTCGTTCAAGTTGCCTGTAGATCTTTAAAAACTCAGGATGGGCATTGTTTCTTGTGAATGATTTACGTGACATTGTTCATTTAAGTTTCCTTTTCTTAGAATGTCCTCTCATATTATATATTTTGTTATTGTTTAGCAGTTGTACCTAGAGTTGGTGGTCTTTTTCTTTTCTTTTTTTCCATAGGCTCAGAATTGCTTGTTGAAAAAGAAAAAGTACCAACTTTTTGTTCAAAAAATTCATTGGGTTTGTTACCCCCCTTCCCCGCCTTGATAAAAATGAATTAAAAGAACCATTTTAAAAGAAACAGCAGGATGTGTTTTTCTGTCTTGTGTTTCTTGTTTTGTGATAAAGAAGAATACTTAAGTGACTAAAAAAACTGTTCGCAAAATTCTCACTTTTCAGAAAACATGTTTCTAAGAACTGCATCATGTTTTAGATAAGAAATACCTAACATATCAATTTCTCATGTCTCAGTCAGTACATGTGGGGTTTGATAGGGCACTAAGTAAGCATAGGCACAGACACGTTGACATGACGATTTTCAAAAAAATGTAGAACACGATATGTTTGGTTACGTTAAAATTTTATATTTTTATAAATTTATTATATGTCAACTAAATGAATAATTTATTCAACGTTAATTAAAAAAAAAATGATGTATTTACCATAGGTTGTGTCGGAGGGCTCAAAAAGTGTCCAAGAAGTGTATTTGAAATGTATGATATTATGAATTTAAAATTTTAATGAAGGCATGTTGAAAAAGTGTTGGACAGGCTTTTAAGAGTGTCCACAGTGTGTCGTGTCCGGCAAGACACACCTCCTCCGTAGAGTGTCCTTGCTTTTTAGATGGGGCATTTTTTTTTTCTTTTGACGTTTTATAATTGCATGCATGCCCAATGTGAAATATCAATAGCGGTCCAAAGCAATCCTGACAGGAAGTTCCAGTGTCAAGCTTTTGATGCAAATATACCTAACCATTTTTCTATACCTAATCCTCACCAAAAACAAAACAAAACAACAATCTTATTCCAGATTGTGGTTATAAGGGAAACTTTTAAACAATGTTATAGATAGAGATACCTTGGGATAATGAGATAATGAAATGCAAGTGCAAAGCCTTGTAAAATAATTTGATTGAATAATTCTTGCTTAAATTTGTCTGTTGGTTGCCAGATGGAAGAAAATGGGATGTTCAAGGAGTAGGCTTAGTAGTTGTTCCTATGGCTTCATGGTGCAGGAACATATCTCAGTATTGAAGAAATGATTGGATCGAGAAAAAGGAAAGAAAAGAAAAGGAAAGGAACAAGGACAACTAAAAAAATAAATAAATGCTTTATCCGTACCTTCCTCTGATCCATATCAACCTGGTCAAAGGATATATATATATATATATATTTGTTTTTACCATTACTTCCTGTACTGTGAGTTGATGCAATTATGAATCAACTAGATTGGAGAAGCAATATGGCCGTTTTTTTTTTTTTTTTTTTGAACGAAATATGGTTTTGTTTGTGTAGGTTTTTTTTTAGTTATTTATTTTTAGCTGAGAAAGCATATTAGTTTTTGGTCTCTCTACAAATTACTATTGCAGACATTCAACGAGGTACAGAAGTTGCTCAGTAAAACCAATGGGCAAGTGGTTGGAGATTTGATGACACCTGCACCGGCGGTTGTTCATGAATCCACCAATCTCGAGGATGCTGCTAGGTTCTCTCATTCTCTCTCTCCTAATGTTATCATTATTGTCTTTTTTTCTTTTTCTTTTTCTTTTCTTTTCGTTCTTTTTTTTTTTTTTTCCAGGTATATTGTCTTCTGGTTTCTTCCCTGGCTACAACTACCTTTGTCCATGTTAAAAATAATAACTAGACTGCATCTATGGACTGCTTGATTTTTATGTTTCAGAATGTTGCTAGAAACAAAGTATCGTCGACTTCCAGTTGTAGATGGCGAGGGAAAGCTGGTAAGGAACATCCCTGTTTTTCCCTCCTCAGCTCATTTTATCATCTTTCTCCTTGCATTTTCTGATTAAATAACTTTACTATTATGAAGGTTGGGATTATTACAAGAGGAAATGTTGTTAGAGCTGCCCTTCAAATGAAACGTGCTAGCGAAATCAAAGCATGAGAACCAGGAAAACACTCTCACAGGACGATCATACTTCCAATTTTATCAATCCCGGTATTGAAATTGTGTATAACATGTAAAATTTTGGATTATGCATGTATAAAACATCAAATATAGATTCCTCCTCACTAAGATCATATATATATAGATAGAGAGAGTTATTGTTGGGACCAAAATTGAGGACACTTGGAATACTGAACTCATAATCTTATAGCACTATAGAAGGATTATGTTGGGTTCTATGTGAATTTGATGTGAAATCTACCAGGCATTTATGTATCATTATTTGTTTCTGGCCGGTTGTTGAACGAGAAGAGGACATGTTGTGGTCACTTTATTTCATTCATTGTAGTCGTTAAACCAATTGGTTGAGAATGTTTCAGTACTTATTGACCTTAAAGGGGTTCATATTATTGGACATAGAAAATAGGGGTGTGCTTGGGTCGATTTTAAGCCAAACCCAGAACAGGGATCAAACCCGAACCTTATAAATTTTGAAATTTTGGATTCAGAACTGAATTGACCTTTCTTTTAGAACAGAACCCAACCCAACTCGAGTAAACTCTGGTTGTGGAATTGCGGTTTAAAATTTTTATAACAGAACATGCATTCGTTTGAAAACAACAGCAAATTTGGCATCCAACCAAGTCTGATCATGAAAAATAGTAGATAATTGTTGACTGCAGATCCAGCGTGAGTTTGGCCCCATGAAAATTGGATATAGCCACAGAAATAACTGTCTACCATGGTCATCATTTTTTTTGTTTTTGTTTTTGCTCAAAGGGTATTCGGAGTTCCACTCGATTGCTTTAGATATATCAAATAATTATTAAACTAAAATCCTGAGAGTGACCCATGATTATCAAAATCACGATATGATATCCTAAATTGCGAAACGATTTAAATTGTTGTAAAATCACTATTATAGCAAGAATCATGTGGAATCATGTGGAATCGTACTAATATCACAGGTAAGATATTAAGGGTTGGTTTGGAAAGTGAGTTGGCTTTTTGACTTTTTGATTTTTTTGGTTACTTTTTTTGGCTTTTTTGTGAGAGAATAGTGTAATGATTACGGGTTGGATGTGATGTTTTGTTTTTTGTGACTAAAATAGTCTATTTTGTCTTTTGTGGCTAAAATACCAAAAAAACCCCTAACCCAACTTGCCAAACAGAGGCTAGGCTCCAATTTTTTTCATCTTATTTTTAAGGTATGTCATTTTTAATATAAGATCCTCTCACAAATTCCGATAAAATTTTGATTTTAACGATTATGGAGCGACATCAAGATGAAACTTTTTATGATCCCATGTATTCAAAATCATGACATTTTATATGCAAATATAAATAAATTTTAACCAACTGTTCATTAGGGTCATAAATTTGTTTGCAACTAAAAAGTAGGTGGAGCTTGGAACATTGAAATTGGGGCAAGACAATTTACTCTTTGTTTTTTTTTTTTTTGAACTGGGACAGGACAATTTACTTGAAATGTGTTTTCTTGCCGAATGATATCATATCTACAACTTTGTAATTTGCATAGTTCCAAAGAGAATTGTTTCTTGATCAGTTGGTGGTGATGTAAAACCATGCAAACTGGCAAGAGCTACTCACTATAATTAAAGATTCCATTTTAATTCCTTTGGAGTGCACGTTTTAACAAACTTCCTTGGATGCATCTTAATTAATTCTCACAAAAAAAACAAAGAAAACATTATATAATTCTGTGTCTAAATTCTAATGAGGCGGATATATTTAGAGACACTTGTAACAGTGGTATACTTTGTCTTCATTTTCTCGTTAGAAAAATAAATAAATAAATAAATAAAAATAAAAATAATCAGACCTTTACAAACTCACACTTGCACTTAATTGTGGCACGAAAAGCAATAAAGGATTGATAAGGTCTTGTTTAAATACATAATTTGATATAAATTTGTAAAGGAAGCTGCTTACCTCCTGTCCTTATCGGATCAGATGGTGCTGTTTAGTCTATGGGAGTTTATCACGGATCATATTTTGATAATCCGAACTGTTAAATATGTAAAACTCGTCGAGTATTATATGTTTGTAAAAAATTACGTTGATCGGATATCGATAGCTATGTGATCAAATCAGTTTTGTATAAAAAACAAATAGAAGGTGAACAAATTAACGGTTGACAAAAAACTGATAAGATGAGATATTTATCGATATCCGATCAACATGATTTTTTATAGGCATATAGTACTCGACAAGTTCTACACATTGAACGGTTCAGATTATCAAAACAGGACCTGTGGTGAACACTCACAAGTCAAACAACATCGTCCATTAAGAAGCGGAGGCAAGCTGCCCCATTTGTAATATCTCTAATATTATTGTAATTACGCAACATGTTTTAGAACGATGTTTCACGCTGAGGTCTCTCAGAGCATCTCCAATCCTGAATCAAAATTTTTATCAAATTTGAGTAAAAAAAATGACTTTTTCCTCAATCTGATACTGAGTGCTCCAACGGTTGATTTTCATCAAATTTTCATCAAAACTGTGCCGGGATAACCGGTTGGTCGACCGGCTTGGTTAAGCCAAAAATTTTTTTTTTTTTAATTTTTTTTTTGAACTGTTTGAACTTTTAGTGGTCGACCGGCCGGTCAACCGGTAAGGCCAGAAAATATATATATATTTTTTCAACTGTTTGAACTTTTTTGAAATTGTTTGAACCTTTTGGTGGTCGACCGGTTAGTCTCCCCCAACGGTCATGCACAGTATTTTGGTGAAATGCGGAGCCTGTCCTCCTTTTGGTGAAACGTTTGATGAATTCTCGATTTGATATCAATTTGATAAAACCGTTGGTGCTCTAAACAGTGCTTTTTTCACTAAATTTCAAATTTGATACTAGATTTGGTGAAGGGTTGGAGATGGTCTCAACTTTGTCAAATATTCTTGGAGACACTAGTTTTTTTTTCTTTTTCTTTTTTTTCTTTTTTTACATATTAACATTTTTTTTATTAATATAAAACATTTCTAAAAAAAAAAAAAAGGGAAGAGGAAAGAGAGAAATTGTGTGGTGACTTGACAATGTAGCTCTCTTCTCTCTAGCTTTTGTTTTTTTTTTTTTTTTTGAACAAGGAAAAGGAAGTTCGGTGGGGGCATCACGACTTCTGTAGGCTCAGACCTCGGGGTAGCCGGTTGCCGGTCTGATTTAATCCAATCTAAAAGAAGGGACTTACCACTAAGACACCAGCGGAGCTCATCAACTGCCCTAGCCATGAACAAATTTCAATCGGAATACAGTGCGAAGTCTCAAAAGAGATCCCCTGAAAAATCTAAAATTTTCATGCCTTCCAAAAATCAAATTTAACTCATAACTGTGGAAAGACAATACCTTCACCACTAACCCACCACCTTGGTGGTTGCTCTCTATCTAGCTAAAGCTGGGCATGGTGTTGTGTGGTGGTGCCCACAATCTTAGTCATCAAGAGCAACAACATTGAGAACCAGAGAAAATACCTAACTCATCAAATCTTATCATCACTTTTTCTATTTAGTGCTCCTATTGTAAATACGCCCCCACTTACACCAACCCAAAACTAATGTAGGCCCCCTCTTGTTTCCCCCTTCTCTCTCTCTCTCTCTCTCTAGTTTTGGTTCCACCGCCGCACTCAACCTTCACTCTTCCCTCTTCTCTCCTCTCAATCATCTACACAAAACCACATTCAAAACTTTAAAAAAAAATTCATTAATCATTATATTCACTTGTAATTGAAAAAAAAAAATAACACAAAAAAAAGGACAAATATTTACACTAATTCTTCTTGCACATTTTTTTTTAAAGACAGAAATAAATAACAGAATCTGACACAACTACACACAAAACCTTATATGAAAAAGTTGTTGTCCTGTGATCAATTTCTGTATCCTTAATTTTTTTTCCCCCCTTCATAAGATACTACAAGACTATCCATATCAAAAGATAATACCGCTCACAAAAAAAAAAAAAAACTCGAAACTATTTGCTGCATGTTAGCAAATAGTAGTACTACTACATAATCCTTACATATACATATATCTATCTATATATATATATATATATATATATAATAGACTATATGAGTCTGAGTCTGAGTTTCAGTCAGACTCACCAATCATCATCAGCATCCTGGTCTTCGGGTTCGGGGGTCTTGTTCAAGTCGGGTTTCTCCTGAAACCAACAGGGTTTGAATCCAGATGGTGCATGATGATGATGATGGTGATCATCAACACCAGTCATTGAAGAGGTCTGGATTGCATCAACCCTTGCACCCACCTCTATCGCTTTCTTCCTTATGGACGCCGCCGACAAGTCACCTCCGCCGGAGCCAGAATCGCCCACCAAAAATTCCGGAAAATTGAGCCTGGCGGAGGGCCCGCGGAGGTAGTAGACGGCGGTGTCGTAAGCCCTGGCCGCCGCCTCAGGAGTGGAGTAGGATCCTAACCAAATCCTGGAGCGCTTGTTGGGTTCTCGAATCTCCGCCACCCACTTCCCCCACTTCCTCATCCTTATCCCTTTGTACGGCCTCTCGCTCTTCCTCTTTCCCCCTCCACCCTCCATCTCTCTCTCTAGAATCTATACAGAATTGGAGAAATTGTAGACAGAGACAGAGAATAGATGAGAAAAAGCATGAGGTTGGGATGTGTTGTGGCGTGGAACTACATGGGTAATAGGATTCTGGGTAATCCTCCACGTTGATTTTGTTTACAGAGACGGAGAGAGAAAGAGGCAGAGAGAGAGAGAGAGAGAGAGAGAGAGAGGGGTAAAAGAAATGCACCGACACAATCTCTTACTTTCGTTTCTCTCTCAAAAGCTTACCTTATTTATTATAAGTTAATGGCCGCCATGTAGCTTGCAGACGTAGATTTGTTTAATTTTTTTCTTTTATTTATATTTATTTATTTGCAGTGAAAAATTATTGAGGGTTTGTTTCAAATGTGGGTTGAGTTTTTTTTGACTTTTTATCTATTTTAGTTTGGGGTAAAAAGTTATGTTTGGAATAGATTTTTTGAGAAAAAAATATAATGATTATTAGTTAAATGTAATATTTTGTCTTATTAAGCTAAAAAACATATTTTGTTTTGTTGTAACTATTCTAGTCAAAAAACTTGAGGCTTTTTCTTTCCAAACAAGCTCCGAGTGTTATTGATCAAATCTCAAATAAGTAAAATTTTATTATACACATTTTATACCATATATATTTTTAGTTACGTTATTTTCTTTTTGTAGTTATGATCAAATTGTTTTTTGTTACAACATTATTTTGAAATTTTGATTAGGATCTTTTTATATTTAGTTATAACTTTTTTTAAATTTTTTTAATTATGACTTAAAAAATATGAAATTATATTATTTTCTTATATAATTATAGGATGCATATAATACATAACCTTCGAATGGTGTACCATAATCTTTCCCCTCAAATCAAAGTTTAAAAAAAAATGCATAGTTTAACAAGTCTCATAATTATTAGGTATTTTTGAAGTATTATATGGCATTACTTATATAATGATCTAAATTAATAGTGTAGCATAAAATTTTAGGATTTAGACATGATGACACACCTTTCTTACGGGTTGAAAGACAAGAGATGATTTACTTATTTATCACGTAGGTAACACCATGTGATATTGGTTATATTTAGTTAGAGAATTTGAGAAGAGATTTGAAAATAAAAAAGAAAAATGTGTATAAAATTAGATAAAATGTAACACAATTCACCCAAAATGACCTAACAAAAAAGTTAGGTTATACATAGTTGAGTTTTTGAGGATGAAAAATTTACACATAACATTTCATGTGTGTGGATCTCATTGTAATTTCTAGGGGTGGGCGCGGGTCGGTTGCGGCTACAAAACCTCCAATCCGTCATCCGTCTGCCAAATTGGTGGATTAGAGAAAATCAATCCGCATCCGTCCGCTAATCCGGCTGATATGGATTGAGCGGTTTGGCGGATGGATGCGAATCGGTTTGGCGGTTTGAAATTTTGTAAATTTTCAACATAATTCAACTTATGCACTTCCTCAAAAAAAAAAAAAAAAAAAAAAAAAAAAAAAAAAACATGTCTCATCCAAAGAAAGAAAGTTTGAAACTTTAGAATATCAAAATCACTGCATGCCTCATCCATATATTACAATCACAGCATACCTCATTCACATAAAATATTACAATATGTGGTTCTTAAAATATAAAAACAATGCAAACCACTAAAACCATGAACAAAACAATAGTAGAGATTGTATGTCTCTGTATTGTTACATTTATATATGTTTTTGAAAACAAAAGCCAACCAGCATATATTATATTTTCTATTTATTACTTTTAGAGTTAGATTTAAAAACCAAAAAATATAAATAAATAATATGTTTATTTTTTTTAATTCAAAAAATATATTCAAGTTGAAAACTTTTTTTTAACAGAATATTTGAACTCTTTTTCAATTGAAAACACAAACAAAATATTTAAACAAATTGAAAACACAAAATCTTATAAATTACTAAGGGTACTCGCGGTTTGGCGGTTCGGTTGCGGCCAAAGAAACCTCAAATCCGCCAACTGTCCGCTCGACATCACGCATCCGTCCAAAATGCGGCGGATCGGTTCGGTTCGATCGGTTTTGGCGGATCGGTATATCCGTTGCTCACCCCTTTATTTCAATAAAAAAATGGATAAATTATCAATAGGTCCTAATAATTGGACTTAATTCTCATAAAGTCCTATTCAAAATAAGTCTTGGTAAAATTATCACTAAAAATAATTTTTTTGTGATAATTTTTTATATTTGTCGCTAAAAATTGACATTTAGTGACTTTTTTTTGTCATGATTTTTATAAATTGTCGCTAAAACTTACAATTAGTGACTTTTTTTATAACAAATTTTTCCCATAAGACCTATTAGATAATAAGTCCACTTATTAGGATGTACACGTAAGTACCCAAAAAATTGACACATAACTTATCATGTCTTTACGGGTAATGAGAAATACTAAAAGACCAACAATTTAAACTCTCAAACTTGCCTACAATGATGTAATAAATGCATTAAGCTTTAGATGATTAAATTTGTAACAAATCAAAAATTATCATATAAATATTGCGTGATGGTAAGTTAAATAAGAAATTTTTTTTGAGAATCTTAAACATTTTCCATAGATAATACTATGAGTTTAAATTGTGAGTTTCAAATTTTTTCAATATGTGTTGTTTTGATCGGATAACTATTAATTTAGATAATAAGTCTCATCTTATTGCAATTTGATTTCCTTTTTTTAAGTTTGATGATGAATTTTTGTATTAAATTTAAGTATGAATATTTTACCCATGTCGGGTGATTTTTTCTTGAAAATGATATTTTATTTAATAATTTAAGAAGTGACAATTAATAATTGATGCGAGCTTAACACCTGCAATGCTATGTAGTAATAATTTTTTAAAATTTACAATAGACTCTACCTTTCATATATTGGTACCATGGATGACATGTAAGATATTCCATAAAATAATAAACAATTTTGATATAAAAATTTACTCGTCTTTATATTATTTAATTTTTTAATAAATCTATGTACAACCCCAATTAAATTATGAAAAAAAAAAATTAAAATATACACATTGATAAGCTCTGATGAAAATGATGGCAATCTCTGTACACTCCATCATACTCCTATGTAGATTATTAATATTTTAATGTGATATAAACTTACTTTTGTGGTCCAAAAATTAAAAATAAATATTTTGTGGAGGTGTGTGATGAGTGGGTTTCATAGTTGTCAAAGCACCTACGAGCAATGGTCTTGACTCAACCATCGCGTGGCGAAGAGCCCATGGTCAGCTAGGCGGCTAGACAATTAGGCTTAGTCAATTAAATAAATATTTTAACTTATTTTTTAGTTATTTTATAATATAATTACTTCAATTAAATTATTCAATACCGATTTGTAGCCCGAGACTTATGGGGCTCAAATGGCCCAAATTGAAAAACGATGACGTTTTGAATTTTTTTCTTTTTCTTTTCTCTCTCTTTCTCGTTTTTTCCTGAAGATGCAGAAGCTGAAAATGAAGAAGAAGAAGAGGAAGAGAAGAGGAACCTGTTCATCTATCCCCTCTCTCTCTCTAAACTGTTGGTCTCCCCCTCTCTAACCATTTGGTCTAACCCTTTCGTCTCTCTCTAACAATTATTTTTTTTTCTCTCTCTAAACCTTTCGACTCTCTTCCTTTCTCTCGTCTTCCACTCTCACTCTATCTTATGGCTCCTTTTTTGAGAAGCAAAAAAACGGGTCTATCTTATGGCTTCTTGAATCTGATCAACACATTATCATCATCAACAATTTTTATTTATTTTGTTTCTGATCCTGGTATACTTAGAAAAATAAAAAAAGAAGAAGAAGAAGAAGTGAAAACAGAGTTTCAGTTTCAGAGCATCTTCATCTTCATCAACATCAACATCAACAATTTTTATTTTTTTTTCATTCAGATTCAGATCTACTTAGAAAAAAAAAGAAGAAAACAGAGAGATCGGTGATACCCACCGGCGCCGGCACCATCACTGCCGATCATCTTTTCTCCTTCTTTGTCGCCTCTTCTCTCTTCCTTTTCCTCTTCTCTTCTCGCCTCTCTTTTCTCTCTCTCTCTCTCTCTCTCCTCTTCTCCTGTCTGTGTTTGAAAGAAAAAGAAAAGGAAAAGGAAAAAAAAAAAAAATACTGCCCAAAACGATGTCGTTTTGGGCAGTCAGCCCATTCGACCTTCGTCAGTTTCGAGCTACAAAGCATTTTTGTAAATCATTATGGTTACTTATCAATTATTATTATTCAATTAATATAATTAAATTATTATTATTTTAATAAAAGGGTTTAACTTCTCAAAAAAAAAAAAAGAACAGTCTAATTTGGCTTGATATACTTATCACTTAACTCATTTTTATTTATGTTTAAAATCTTGTGTGTGATCATTCATAAAGAAATACATTGATAATTATAATTATAGTCATATTATAATTACATTGATCGTTTATTTTTTCCAGACAAATGTGAATCAATTAAATGATTACCGATATTCGATTGATCTAGTTTTTGTATGAATAATATATTTGTCAGATCTCATAATATAAACAGTTTTAATTGTCGAAACGAGACCAATGTGGACCCGTAATGGACAAAACTAGACCCCTCCAATCTAATCATGAACTGAAAAGGAGCTATTTTTAAATATAAATTATTTATCAGAATGCGTGATTATCGAAGTGAGTCCAATGGTGATCCGTCGAGCTAAATTAAATGTGTCTAAAGTCTTCTCCATCAACTGGAGAGAAATTTGATCCTAATAAAATAACATTGAACTAAAAAATATGTGATAGATCTTTAGTGAAGGTTATTTATCATTTTAAATTTATCATAAATTAAAAGACGTAATTTATTAAATTCCTATGATCAAATATAATGAAATCATTAGTGGCTACCTTTTTTATTGCAACATAAAAATATTTCCAATAGAATAAACTGATGAAAAAATAAACATCATTATTGAGTTCAACTTGATATGCTTTTTCAATTATTTAAAAGATCATTTAAAACCATCTAATTTTACCAAAAATTAAATTCAATTGTGTTCTCATTTTATTTATTTTTTTCCTTTCTTTTTTTAGCAGTTGAGCATGCAACATTGGCAGGACAGGTTTGTTGGTTGTGGCTATAATCACTTAGGCGGCCACCCGTAACTACTATTTGTGGGGCAAGACTTTCATGTATTTTGTTATGCAATCGTTTGAAGAAAATGTTATCAGAATTTGTATATAATTTTCAAAATAA